AGTTCCAACAAGTATAAAGTCTCCCGAAGGATGAAAAGAGATGGAGCGCAACATTTCAGCTTCCTGGAATGAGAGACATCAACTTAAAGTGACCAACTGGTGAACATTAAATCCAGGGGATTTTTATTACATATGTATCAGAAGGAATAAAAGTACTCTCTGGGACATATCAAATCTTTTTTTTGAGCAGAGATTCTGAAACCTACATGGTTACTGAAGATAAATGCACTTAAAACAACAACTTTTGATTTGCTTCAGAGCCGTTAACTATTGAGTAAAAAATAAAGTTCAATTATGGGAAGATGGAAGTCAGTACTAAAGCCGCAGTGTTTCTGCAATGCACCTTCAAAATACAGTGCCAAATGTCAGGATTTCAAAAAACACCTGATAGTTTCTATATTGTTTTTTGTTTCCTATAAGTTATACGGGAGATGGTAGATTAGTTTTTAATAGGAATCTGCAACCTGTAAAGAGTGATCTGGATTCTGAATCCTAGTCCCATGAACTGTGACTGGTCCTGACCAGCCAGAGTAAGTAGGCACATGGCAGCATATGAACTATGTACCAATGGAATCTGATTCTTGTGCCATCCAGAATGTATCTCAGTTGCTGTACTTATTTTATAGGACGACATGGAGAGACTACTTTAAAAAAAAGAGAGAAGAGTTGTTCAACAGCTCCCTATGTTTAGAAAAAAATGTAAAGCTCTCTTCCAAATATTTCTAACCTGAATGTATTTGAAGGCTCTTTTTGCAGATGGCTTGGAATAATCAAATAATTTAAGGGTGTAATCCCTTGAACCAGATGCCAGGATCTGTTCTGTTGGGTGGAAAGCGAGACATGTGACTTCATCCACGTGATCATAGAGTGTTCGAATGACTGGGTGGTTTTCCATGTTCTGCTGTGCAGTCTCATTCATCATGACCTAGATTAAAAAAAAAAAAAAAGTAGAGACACTCAACGTACAGAATCTGCTTGCATCAAAGAATACAATCCATAGCTATGGTAAATCAGAGCTAGCTTAAATCATTTGCTTGCTTTCTCGAGAATGAGAAACACAAGGCAAATGGTGAGTACACTACTGGGGTTTTTACCTCTATTGGCATAGCACTTTTGGCCAACATTCTTTCTGTGTCGAGTATCTTTATGGAAGCATCAGCAGATCCAGTAGCTATCAACTGCCCATCTCTACTATAGGTAGCTACACGGCATGGTCCTTTATGGGATGTGACATAGCATGTTTCATATTCAGAAGCCTCTGGGGACATTGTCTGAACATCTGCATCAAACTCCAAGTCAATCCCGGTGCCAGGGGCAACTGTATCTGATCGACCAATTGCATACTGAACCGCTGTGTCATCGTTTTCCATTCCTAGAAGAAATCAAAATTAAAAACATGAAAAAAAAAATTAAATGCCAAGACAAAGTTCTGGATCCAAAACTAAAGATGTTCACCAACATCAACTTACAATTTCTGTGGGCTGCATGACACCCAAACCTTTACAAAATTATGTTCCCTGCCATGCTGTCCAAGGTTCTCAATACTGGGCAGGAGCAAGAAAAGGCCCCCACAACCAAAGGCAACTTCCTAGGTTCTTGCCTCCAAAGTATATTACTATAACTACAGCTACAGAAACCCAATAAACTAGGAGTTCTGTAGTTAAATCATCCATATTTTTCCCTTTAAAATGTAATATTTTTAAAGTTGAGATCTGTTAGTTGCAGATACAAAGTAGTCAGCTAGAGTGTTAAACACCATTAGTGAAATGGTTTTGAAAGAATGTAGGCTAAATTAACTAAAGTCGATTCAGAATATACATTTTAAATTTAAAAATAACCACATACATCACACAAACAATACACTTATTTATATAAGAAAAACTATACAAATAAGAAAACAACAATGATCTCAAATTTTTGCAAATATTACTGTCAACATTGTGGTCTGACTTCTTCTGGTTCTTTCTCCATGCACAAAATAGTTTTGTTTTTTAAAACAAAAATAGACTGGCACTGTGTGCTATATTGTCCATTTAATCACACAGAATAAAACCCTGTCTGAGCTAATAAACATTCATCTACAACATTATTACATTGTTGCATCTAATTTTATGGACATTTAAAACTTTATAAATAATAGTATATTAATAGTTGCATTTTAGTTTATCCTCTTTATTTCCTCAGGATAAATCGTCACAATTGGCTTCACCAAGCCAAAGAGAACAATGTTTGATAATTAAACATCTTATTAAATGTCAGGTAGGCCTCAGGATAAATGGATGAAGAAGGCAAGGTTCTTCTGTTCTTTATAGAGCTTGCAGTCTTTATTTGTGAATGCCAGGAAATGAAAATGTGAGAACTGCCAAGAAAACAACCTCAAAACAATGAAAGAACTTAAAAACAGTAAATCTGTCATGAAAGAAATAGAATTATTGAGGCAGAGTAATTAGGGAGGTATGAGGAAAATGGAAAAGAATAGCATACTGTGCACTCAGGAATTATTTTAAAAGGGGTAAAGGGGAATCTGAGATGCCATCTGAACTGAGATTTAAAGGAAGTCAATAGAGTGCTCTAGTTCATGTGTACAAATGCATTAGAACCAGCCTGAAGTCTCCATGATCTGCACTGCACTTTACCTTTCAGTGTCTAACAGTATTTAATACCTATTAGAGACCATAACTAAGTAGAAATAATCTCAAAAAATTCTGCTGTGGGAAAACATCTAAAACTTAAGTATGAGATCTATAAATTTGCATACATAAGATACCTAGTTTGATGAGATGCAGGAGCTGCTCCGAGGGTGCGCAGACAGATTGAGGCTTGATTTCATTTATGAGGCCATTAGCAATGCTGATATAGCCATCATAGAGCAGCTGGCTAATGATCAGCTTGTAGAGCTGCTGGCGGTCCTTCAAGCCCACTTTGGTTCTGTACATGTTGGAGTAGAGAACCGTTTCTCAGCTGCAAGAAAACAAGGTGGATGGTGAAGCGTGGAGGCACTAGTAAATTACATAAGTAATCCAGGATTCTTTGGTCAAATAATCTTGCAGGGCTTAAATCCCAGCTCTACTAGCTGTATTTTCTTTAGTTAGTAACCTTATTTTTTATTTTTTTTGAGCTCAGGTCTCTCAGATGTTAACATAAATTACTAGAGGTCAAATGAGATGGTGCATATAATGCACTGAGCTCAGGGCTTGGCATACATAAACTATTCAAGTTAATGTTAGCCAATATTTGCAGTAGAATCCACCAGCAACTTTTCTTCTCTGCCACACTATCCACCTATGATTTTTACTCTTTGTTACTATCCTAAAATCTTCCATTTCTTCTGTTAATAGGCAAGACAGCCGCTATTCTGTTGAATGCACTGTTTCCACAGCTGAGTTGTGTTTACTATTGGCTGTAATGTTCATTCTTAAAACCTGTTTTAAGGCAAATGACCTTATTACTATAATTAGATAATTTAGGTAGTAAGACAGTATGTGAAGGAAAAAAAAAATTCAAGGGTAACCTGCTTAATGAAACATTGCCAATAAGATAGGGCCATAACAACTACAAAAATGGAAAAGAATAGCATACTGTGCACTCATAGGTTCATTTACAAATGGCTAAGTTCTCCTTCAGTCTTTGAAAATGAAACAAACCACAGGTGGAGGTTTTTGATTTATGCAAGAAGACTCCAATAGGTGGCCATGAAAAAAAATTTGATTATCAAATACCAATATATGTATGTGAATGCTTGCACAGATCAGAAGGTTGCAGGTGTCTGGAGACAGTAACAGAGAATAAAAGTGGGCTCAGGGCCTGAGTTCTTGCACAGTGTTAGGTATCAATAACAATATTTATCACGTATTTCCTACTTGCCAGATATTGTGCTAAGCAGTTTATAGACATTGATTTATTAAATGAAAGCATTCAATGTACTGAAAAATAACGCAAATACAAGTGTAAAAGTACATTTGTGCAGACGATATTAGAGCACAAAAGTGTTGATGAAATGAGCTCAAATAGCAAAGGACACCATTCAAAGTAAAGTGTGGCTAGTAACTCTTCCAAGGTTAGAGCGGCCTTCAGAGCTGTCCCACTCCAGGGCCCACAACTTAACCACTACACTATTCTCTCTTAACTCCGGCCATGGGTGGGGGGTGAACAAAGAGATTTTTAAAAAGAAAAAAAAAAAAGCGCCCAAGCCCCACTTCTCAGTTCCTCCTGAACGTTCGCTGGAGGGCTGGGGAAGCCTGTTTATCTTCTCCAATTCGCAGGTGGGGACACTGAGGCACGAGGACAGGAGACTCCGGGCCAGGACCGGCGACCACCGGCCAGGAAGCGGACCGGGCCGAGGGTGCAGGGGCCCCTAGCCGAACGCGCCGCGAGCACCGGGAAGCAGAGGTGGACGGAGGCCCGGGTCGCGGCGAGAGCGAGGCCCGGGGAGAAAGGGTGTGCAGGCCCGGTGGGGCAACTCAGCACGCAGAACTCGGGCGCACGTCTCCCGTTCGCTCTCGCCCTGCCCGCCCAGTCCTTCACGTGACCCTCTGTAGGCCCCAGCCGACCGCACCGGCCGCTCGCCCCGTGTCCCCGCATCTCCGTACCCGCTGATACGGCTTTCTCGGTCTCCCGCTCTCTCCCAGAAAAATGGAGGCGCGAACCCTGCCCAATGGATCGCTCGGCGCGCACGTTCATTGCGCACGCGCAAAGGGCGCCACGCCGAGTGCTGCGCTATCGATCGGTCCCATTCTCTCCTGCCCTTCTCGCCATCTCACTTACTGGCACGTTCGTTCGCCTCCTCCGACAGTATCTTCTATGCGACAACCTTGACACCAAGGGGCTTTTGTCTCACGAACAAATGCCACAGCCTAGAGAGCACCATAGACGCTAGAACCGCCCCGGGTCTGGCGCGCCGTTGGCTCCACCACTTCCGTAATCTCACGCGCAAGTGCGCCTGCGCGCCGCCTGCATCTTGTAACGTGACTCATGTCGTCGCGTTTGTTGTGAACCAATCACAAAGCAGCCTCACCCTGGCTTAAGCCAATCATCTTTCGGATTAGAGGGTTTAACTCTTCTTTAAAAAGAAGAACCTTTGAATTGTAACGGCTGAGCTCTAAGGAGGACTCGGCGGCCCGGGGTCGGAGGCGTGATCCTGCTGGTGGGTAGGGTGGGCAGGGGGATCCGCTGGGTGCGGTGGACTAGGGCTGCGGACCAGGGCCGGGGTGTTCTCCCGTTGCGCCGGCTGCCTCCCCAGCCCGTCCTCCCGCTCCCACGGCTGAGCGCCGAGGGACGCGGCTGCTGGGTTTCGCCGCTGGCTGTAGAAGCGGATTGGGTGTCTGGGGTGGGCTTTCTGCCCGGGTTTTGTGCCGGTGGAGACCTGGTAAGAAGAGACAGCCTTCGTCGTCGTGGGGCTGGGAGTCTACGAGCTGGGAAGATACCCGGCGGCCGCGGCGGGGCTTACGAAGGAGGCGAATAGGGCTGAGCTTTAGCGGGGCCACTTCAGTAGAAGAGCTGGAAGGTCCGTTGTCCTGCTGGCTGGATGAAGGAGGGCAGTACTAGGGGGACCTCGCAGAGGCTGGCCTGGTTCGGCCTCCCCTGCTGTAGACCTGGGTGCATTGTGGGGTCTTCTCAGAGTCCTGGTCAAAAACTAGAGCCCACTGCAGGCGCAGCAATCAGAATCTCGGGGTGGGATTCCCGTGTCATTAACAAGCCCTCCAGGGGATTCTTACATTGAGAGCTAGTAGCGTAGCCCTTGCATGCTAATTCTGGGGGGATGTTAAAATGAAGACTGGGACTGGGACCCAGATAACAGACATCCGGTGAGGCCGAGGGAGCTACTGCCCTCGACTTTTCATGTCTCCACTTCCTCCTTAACCTCCTTGTTCCCTTGAATAATGGCTCTTGGACAAGATATACACTTCTTTGTCCCTCCCCTTCATCTCTGAAGACATCCATAGGTCTGAAGGAGGAAAAAAAGATTATGAAACCCGCTGTGCTGTTAATATTTTCCTCTGCACATTAGTAAACCTCTGGTTTTAACTGCCTGGGCCTGTGAAGGTCATTGGTCATGTGATTCCTGAATCTGGTTGCAGATCTGAATCACCTGAAGAGCAGTGGGGAATTGTGGATCAGAATATTATTCCTTTATGCTTATTCATCTAATTGTGAAAGAAAATAAATTTGAACAAATGTCTGTACTTCTAGAAGAATGTTGACTAAAAGGCCTTGAGCATACGTGATCTCATTAGTCTGCTGCTTGTAATTATTAGGGAAAGTGAAGAAAGCCTAGAGCTTCTGTGGAAAAAAAAATAAACATTTGCTTGGCACAACCATGAATTTCCTTTTTATAACTGTTACTAATCCACTGTTTTATATAAAGGCTCTGGGCTTGTTAGTCCAGTTGCTGTCTTCATTGTGGAGGTATTATTTGTAAAGTGGATATGAAACTCTGGGAATGGGGAATACTTTCTGATTGGATTCTAGAATAAAGAGAACACCTAGGTCAAGAAGGTTTTTCTGCTTTCTTTGGTATTTCTTCTGTTAGATAGGTATTTGTGCCTGACTCTTGTTATTGATTTCCTTTGTCAGTGAATTGGTTCATTCCCAAAGCACTGGAGTGTGAGTTGTATGCTAGATGCTATTCTAGGTTTAGGCTGGCAACAGTGAACACAATAGGACTAAGCTCTCGCTCTCATAGGACTTATTTCTGTGGAGTTTCTGAGCGGTAACAAAGGATAACTGAGTCTGGGGAAATAGGCAGTAAACAGATGCACATGGATGATATAAGATGTTAAGGGCTATGGAGAACCATAAGATTATTCAGTAAGGAAGCATTGGGCAAAGATCTAAATGAACTGGAGTGAGCTAAACATGTGGAGAAAGAAATTAAGAGGTAAAAGGAACAGGAAGTTCAAAGGCCTTGAGCCAGGAGACACCTTTGAAGAAAAGCTTTGTGTGACTGATATGCAGTGGACAAAGGAAGTCAGGTGGTCAGGATCCACATTTTATGAGTTCATAGGCTTCTCAGTGCATGTAAGAGTTTGCATTGTTTTGATGAAGCTGGGGAACCATGGGGACTTCTGTACCAAGGACTAACATGTTTCACATTGATGGGATCCGTGGACCTTAGTGAAGCAAGGGTGGAAGTGGGGAGATCTTTAGGAGTTATCTTGCAAGTAATCCAGGGGACAAAATTATGGTTAAAGCAGATAGTAACAGTAGAGATGGTAAGCAGTGATAGTTTTGAAGGTAGAGCCTACAAAGTATGCTAATGGATTAGGTATGGGGTTTGAGAGAAAAGTAACTACAGAAAGGGTTATGCTAAGGCTTTCAATCAGAGCAGCTGGCAGAACTAATTTGCCATCAGCTGAGATGAGGATGTCTGTGAGAGGGATTAAAACATCAGTTTTGGATATGTTAAAATTGAGATGTTTGGGCTGGGGATGTGGCTCAAGTGGTAGCAAGCTCGCCTGGCATGTATGTGGCCCTGGTTCGACCCTCAGCACCACATACAAACAAAGATGTTGTGTCCCCAGAAAACTAAAAAAAAAAATGTTAAAAAAATTCTTTCTTTAAAAAAAAAAATTGAGATGTTAACCAAGTGGAGATGTTGAGTAGAAAGTAGATAAGCTAAATCTGGAGTTTAGAGAAAGGTCTGTGCTGGATATTTGGGTATTTGGGCATCCTCAGCCTGTGGGTGGTACAAAAGCCAAGGAGATCGTGTGAACTCACCTTGGGAGTATGTGTAGGTAGTGAGTAGTTTGTGTAGATAGTAGTGCTGGGCTTGAGCTCAGGGTACTCCATGAGCAGGGAGGAGAAAGGAGTGTGGAGGGGTGAGAAGAGGTTGCCTTTTGGATGCATTAGTATCAAGATGCCTGTCAGACAGTTCTGGGAGGTCCTAAGTAGGCACTTGGATATTTGAGTCCAGCAGTCAGAAGAGAGATTAGGGCAGAAGATGCATTTTGAGTTATCCATTAGGATACCTCTATTAAGAGGTATTTAGAGCTGAGGCATAGGATGAAGGTCTCTATTAAAGGGTAGAAGTAGAGGATACTCATTCTTGGATCATCCCAGATAGCACAGTTTGGGGGAAAATGAGGCCAAACCAGCAAAGAAGGGTAAAAAAAGCTAGTGAGGTGGGAGATAAACCTGAACCTTAATAGCAGGGAGTAGGAAGAGGTGAGCCACAAAGCCAGCTGCTGCTGAGATGCAGATGAAGGTGGAATTATTTTGACAGCGCTAGGGTTCAGCCATGAGCCCTTAAAGTGGCAAAGATAAAAAAGCTTAATGGGGAATGGACTCAGGGAGGGTGAGAAATAGAGATGAGGGAGCTTTGCTGTTGGAAGGAGAACTGAGTAATGGGGTTGTGGCTTGAGGCAGCTCTGGGGTAAGAGGGGCTTCTAAGGTAGCAGGAATTCCAGCTGGCTGTGCATGGAAGGAAGTGATCCATTAGAGCAGGAAGTCAAATCCAGGAGTGAAGAGTGCTTGAAGGGATGGGATGACATGCATGGGGGAGGGAGGGGTTGGCTTGGCGAGAAAAGCCACATGCCTGTACATGTGTGTCAGATGAGAGAAGTCCTCCCTCATCAGCTTCATTGGGATGAAATATAAAGATGTGTGTGGAGGCCTTTCATGGACAGCTGTAACTGCCTAGCACAACACTTTGGAGCAGGAGGCTGTTTTTAAAGGTTGTTCTTTTTCTTTGCAGGCATCATGGACAGATCTAAAGAAAACTGTGTTTCAGGGCCCGTTAAGGTAAATTGAATAGTTTGCAATCATATTTATAAAACTCACATGGAGATCAGGCTGGCATCTGAAATTTTTCTCAACTTTACTTTGGGTTGTGACTTTAGCTCCCTATTGCACTCCTGGATTTGCCTGCAGCCTACTGTGTTGTGGGTGCTTCCTTCCAGAAGTAATTGGCTTGCATTTGAACTCTTGAGCACCCTCTCTGGAGCATTCAGGCTGATGAACTGGTGATGGGCTTTGAGGTTTCTCTTCTCTGCATAGGCTCTTGGTTTTAGATAGGCTGTTGGAGCTAGAGTAAATCTCACCCACTCCATCAATTTAGTGTGATTAGCTCAGGGTTTTAGAGTTAATTGTTACACTTCACACAGGTGTATAAACACCTTTTAGTAATAACTTTTGAAGAGCCTATGTTTGTAAGCACTTGGAAAATAAAACATTGACAAATAATAGTAATAAATTTATTGTGGAAAGTCTGGTGTGTAACAAAATTTAAACTTTGCTTGAAGATAAACATTGTTGGACAGTCTTTTTCTAAATGTATTATTAAAATGATTTTATTATTTTTTTTAATATTTGTTTAGTTGTAGATGAACACACAGTATCTATTTTTATGTGGTGCTGAGGATCAAACCCAGTACTTCACACATGCGAGGCAAACGCTTGACCACTGAGCTACAGCCCAGCCCTCAAAATGATTTTAATGGATTGGAATTTTTGTGTTTGGTTTTGAAAGCAGTTTAGGGAGTATATTTCCAAGGCATTGAGAATTTTTAGAAAATATTAATGTTCCCCTCAGTAGATGGAAGTTTAATTAATGAACATGTTTTAAGGGAATGAGTTTTTTTTTTTTTTTGGTGGGGGGGTGAGGAATTAGGATAGGAAGTATTCAATTATCTCTTTCAACCATTTTCATTCCTGTGGAAATGCTCATTAAAATAGCCTTTCCCTTCCATTTATTATCAGTGCTATTCATTATTTTGCTGTGCTAGGAAACTCCGGAATTCTCAAAACATCCAACTTTTATTCTGAAGTCCATAAAGACTTGTTTCCTTCCTATTCCAGGCTACAGTTCCACATGGTGAAGGTCCAAAACGTGTTCTGGTCACTCAGCATATTCCTTCTCAGAACCCATTGTCTACAAGCAGTGGCCAGGCTCAGCGGATCTTGTGTCCTTCAAATTCTTCCCAGCGTGTTCCTTTGCATGCACAAAAGCTCGTCTCTAGTCAGAAACTGGGACAGAAGCAATTGCAGGCAGCCAGTATACCTCGTCCTGTCTCCCGGCCAGTGAACAACACCCAGAAGAGTGAGCAGTCCCAGCCATCAGGGCCTGGTAAGCTAGCTTTTGAGTTTCACTGAAGTCATTATTTGGAGCCCTATCTTTTACATCACATCTATTGAGAATGAGTAGAAAATAAGATGTCCACATTCAAGTAAAATGTCTGTGCTAATACAGAAAGTTTCCCATCCTCTTGAAGAGTTGGGCATCCAGGGACAGTGCCAATCCCATGTTCTCTTGATTGCTTATTAATGGGATGTTGGGTGTTTATAGCAGATACATTTGAGGAACTGGAAATGTAAAGTTTGGGCATGTGGAGGGAAATACCAGAGAAGCAGAATAGAGGCACACAAGTATGATGGGTCAGGTCACATGGGGCACTGCTTCTACTATTAAGGGGGTGGGGCTTCATTTCTTCATTGGGAAGCTACTGAAGGTTTTTGTGGTACTGGAGATGGAACCCAGGGCCTTGCTCATACTTAGGCAAATGCTCTCTATTGAGCTAAATTCCCAGCCCATTTTCAAAATGTTATTTTGAGGTAGGGACTCACTAAGTTGCGCAGGCTGGCCTTAAACTTGCGATCCTCTTGCCTTAGCTTCACAAGTAGCTGGTATTATAGGTGTGTGCTGCCACGCCTGGTGATACTGAAGGTTTGAACAGAGATGGTACTGGTAAGCCTTTAAGAAAGCTTCCTTGGGAGGTATTGTATGAATTGGAGGGCAGCAATGCTGGACCCAGGGTTCCCAGGTAGGAAGAAAGATGAAATCAGGGTGGCAGTGATCAGAGTAGGGTGGAGCAGGGTGAATGCCAACAGTTATTATTTATCAGCAGTTGAGTGTTACGTCAGGCTCTGAGACAAATGACTCCTTCACCCATGTTGTCTTATCAGTCTTCATAACTACTTCATGAAGGTAGCCAAAGTTGTTAACTCCATTTCATAGAGAAGGAAGCTAAGACTCGGAAGTAGTTAACTTACGCAAAGACAGCCAGGAGGGAGAGGTGCCAATAAATTTAAGAGCTCATTTAGGATGCTGACTGAGAGAATTGGGTGATAGGCCTGAAAGATGAGTAAGAAGGAGTTAGGGATGATGGTGTAGGGAAGAAAAAGAACTTGTCCACCCTCAGAAGGTTTGGTAAGTGGATCTCTAAAATATACTGACAGTAGACAGATTAACGGGAGAAAAGCCATTTTTAAAAAAATACTTTAATTTATTTATCTATGTGGTGCTGAGGATTGAACCCAGGGTCTCACATGTGCCAAGTAAGCGCTCTACCAAACCACAGCCCAAGAAAAGCCATTTTAATTCCATGTACTGCCCAGGAATCACAAAGTATGAGCTTCAAGGGCCAGAGGATTGACATTTACATTGCATCTTGAGCTGCAGAATGTAGTGGATGCCCAGGGCTTCTGGGAGGAGGGAGGCAGTGCCAGGCCACAGAGGGCAGGGAGGTGAAAGCATGGGGAGCCTGGGCTGTGCTGCTAGCTGGTAGAAAGTCTCTTAGGTGATGGCCTTGCTCCCAGCTTCTTCCTCTAGCAGGTGCTTTCCTATGTCAGTTTGATTTAAAGATGTGCGTTGCTCTTAGGAAAGTTTAGCTTTTCAGAGCTCTCCTGTTTGCTGCTTCCTCAAAATAGCAGCTTGAAATCTGCCAGAGAAGTGTCTTGGGTGGCACATTCTGGCTTCCTACGGTCATTGCAGTGTGGACCTGCATTCCAACACCTGAGTGGAGCATACTGTGCTGAGAAGGGTTGAGGTATTGGAGCAAGACAGCTGAAATGTCCTGTGTTTTCACAGCTAATGAAATGGTGACTCTAATTTCTTGCTGTGCAACTGCTTGCTGTGTTTCTATATTTCACCTTGGAAGGGGGGTGGCTGTCTTATGTTTTTTTGCATACTGTTGATGATTGAGATGTACCGTACTGATGCTGGATGGCTCCATGTAGTGAGGTGGTGACAGGGCCACAGTTTGTCATGGGTGGAAAGACTCTCTAGAAGCTCTTCACTGTAAACTGAGACTTCAGTGGAAATTTGCACATTCTTTGTCTTTAAATTATTACTGGAAGGCCTAACTGTATACATTCTTACTCATTTTGTACAGACCCCATGGTGGGAATCCTTTGGGGTTTAATAGACATTGTTCTATAAAGAAACTAAGAAAGCCCAGATTATCAGTTATGACATACTATTAATATTTTGGTGGATGTTCTTTGATCTTTTCTTAAAAAAAAAAACAAACCTTATTCTATATAGTTCTAAAAATAGAATTTTAATTTATTCACTATAGGAAATAATCCTGAAAGGGAACTGGCATCAAAACAGAAAAATGAAGACTCAAAGAAGTAAGCTTTCTTATTTATCAAGTTCTATACTATTAGTCCAGTAAAATATACCATTTCATTGCAGAGTTATGAGGTTTTTTTTTGGGGGGGGGATGCTGAAACTGAACTCAGGGATGCTTAAACTGAGCCACATCCCCACTCTCTTATTTTTATTTTTTGTGGTGATAGGGATTGTGCATGCAAGGCAAGCACTCTACCAACTGAGCTATATCCTCCCAGCTCCAATAGCTCATGATCCTCCCACCTTAGCCTCCTGAGCTGGGATTACAGGTGTGCACCATTGTGCCCAGCTCATGAGAATTTATCTTCATTTAGAAGAAAAATGTTTCCAGAATTGTAAACAAGTCTCCCCCACTCCTCATATAGGTATTTACTAGGGGCTTTTTCTTTTAAATTGCTTTTGAAATATAGAAAAAACTTGTAAGACTGTTACAGAAAATGTGCAGTTCTTCTCTACCCTCAGAAGTTACCAGTGTGTATAACTTACATGTGCTCTGCGTGTGACTTGTATATGCTTTTTTAATTCTTATATAGAAGTTTAGGTGTATTTGTTAAGTTTTGAATTGGGGTCTTACTAATTGCCTAGCTGGCCACAAACTCTTGGGCTCAAGTGATCCTCCAGCTTCAGTCTAATGAGAGCTGACTACCCATCACACCTGGTTAAAAGTGCAAGTTTTTAAAAAACTGTCACATAGTAAAACTGTTAATTGTGTATGTGACTGTAGGTGTTTTGTAGTACTGATATAATTATTGCGTTTGTTGTGTATTGAAGAGGCTGGCTGTGATATCTACCCCATTTTCTAAGTACCTGCTCTTAATCTCTGAACTGGACTCTAACATGGGGGAGCAGGACCAGGAATGACTCCATAGTCTTTTTTTGCTTTTAGCTGCCTAACAGCCTTTCTCAGAATTGAACTCTAGTAGTTCTCATGCCCCACTGGCCTGTGGGGTCCCGCCTGCTTCCCTTAGCAACAGTATTTCTGTGTCTACCTCTAGAGTGGGCTCTCCACCTCAGAAAGGGTTAGCTCCTCAGGATAGAAGGAAGTGGTTGGTTTGACACAGGACCACAAGGGATCCTGAGTGCTCTTCCTCTGGAGTTACTTATCCTTTTATTTGGTTTTTAGAGTTGTTGGTAGGCCTATACTGCTGAGCCTGGAGTAGCCCCAAGACATTCCCATTGAGGGCTGCTCTTTTAAAAATGCAACATCATTCCTAAATACTACTGACTCATAGAGCTAATGGCAGCTGGGGCATTTGGGGTTTAATGATTGATTGCAACTTGTTACTGGTGGCTTGGTTCTTGTTGAGGATACATATTAAGTAATTTTGAATATAAAATTATTTATGGATTGTCTGCTACTAATTGATAAGTTGTTAGCAACTATTTGTTTTCATACTTTAAGATGTTCAAATTAATTACTTTTTAGAAGGCAATGGACTTTGGAAGATTTTGACATTGGTCGCCCACTGGGTAAAGGAAAGTTTGGCAATGTTTATTTGGCAAGAGAAAAACAAAGCAAGTTTATTCTGGCTCTTAAAGTGTTATTTAAAGCTCAGCTGGAGAAAGCAGGAGTGGAGCATCAGCTCAGAAGAGAAGTAGAGATCCAGTCCCACCTCCGGTGAGTGTCCAGGCTGCTGTGCAGAGGAGTGGTTTTGGGATTTAAAGTTCCTAAAGGTTAAAAAGCTGAAATCTCTCTTTAGAAAGCTTGCTTCATAGTGTCGTGAAAAACCATTAAATATGTCATTTTCCAAATACTTAGGTGCTATTGTCCTGAAAAATCACTTGAGGATTTAATGTTTTGTTAAAGAAGTAATTTACTTGGGGCTTGCTGCTGAGGTGTGTGTGCATGTGTGTGTGTGTGTGGGGGGGGGGATAATTAAGAGGATTGCCACCCTTTTATCTGAGCTAAGTAAAAGTTGCCTCTGGTCAGGGGGATGTTTTTGCTTTCAGTGTTTTTCAGATTTGAATTAGGTGCTAATACTTGCACTTTGGCAGTATCTGGCCTGTATTCCACCTGCCATCACCTGGTGGGGGATCTGGATGTGGCAAGCAAGACAGGCTGTGCCACCCATGCCCTGTGGCATTTGGCTGCTGCCATGATTGCACACTGCTCTTGTGACACTCTTTTGAGTGGATGTCATGCTTTTTTTCTTTTAGTATGTAGAATAATATTGAGCTAGATTTTCCCCTCAAGAATAGTGATGCCTATAGGAAGGAAATAGTAGTCTGAGCTGAAGCTCCTATGATACTTTAAAATGTGTGTAAAATGACAATGTGTGTGTATGTGTGTGTATTTTTCTTAGAGCAAGCCTATAGTTTCAGACTCTCAGGTGGGGTTGGGGAGCAGGCTATTGTGTGAAACACCACTGGTTTTATTTACATGAGGGTTTTTCTTGGTATTTGATAGTTACTTTGGGGTCAGCTCTGAAATCAGATGTTACAGTCCTTATCTTTTGTTGTAGGCATCCTAATATTCTCAGGCTGTATGGCTATTTTCATGATGCCACCAGAGTTTACCTAATTCTAGAGTATGCACCGCTTGGAACGGTCTATAGAGAACTTCAGAAACTTTCCAAGTTTGATGAGCAGAGAACTGCTACTGTAAGTTTTCGTTTATTGTCCAGGCTAATTGTTTCCTTTTTACCTATTTTCCAATGCAAACCTGCCTTTCGTTATAGTAGAATAAGTTCTTTCTTAATGGAAAGGTAGCTTAATAGGTTCAAACATTTGAAATGGCAAAATCAAAAGAGCTTAGTTGTATCCTATGTGCAGATAAAACTAGGCACCTGGTGGAATGCTGTGACTGGTTTGTTTCCATAGCTGTTTTTTTCTGTGGAAATGTGTATAGACAGTTGCCATATTTTAAAAATGATGGTTTACTTTAGAATGGTAAATTCTTCAGCTTCACAGCAGTCGTGAAGAAGATAGAAGGTTTCCGTGTGCCCGTGCCTAGCTCCTATTGACATCTTGCATTGATATGGTACTTTTGTCACAGATAATGAGCCAGTATTTATGTGACCATTAACTAGTCTATGCTTTTGCAGAGTTGGGTAATATTTCTCATTGTTGGGTAGGGCCTACAGGCTTTGAGAGGAAGACTTAGAGGGCAAGTGGGTTTGTATCATGTCTGGGATGCGCACTCTTTTTTTTTTTTTTAAAGAGAGAGAATATTTTTAATATTTAATTTTTAGTTCTCGGCGGACACAACATCTTTGTTTGTATGTGGTGCTGAGGATCGAACCCGGGCCGCACGCATGCCAGGCGAGCGCGCTACCGCTTGAGCCACATCCCCAGCCCCTGGGATACGCACTCTTAACATAACCTATTACCTGGGGCGGTGGAGGGGCTACAGCATGCACCTCAGGAGGTGTTTGCCAGGTGTAGCCACATGAAGCTCCCCCTTTCCCCCTTTCCCTAATATCCTTTCAAAGAAAGTTGCTGCACAAAGCCTACACTGAGTGGAGAGTGGGAGAAGGATTTAGGTAAATTATCAGGAATTATGTACCAGAGAACTTGCTTGCTCTTCCTTATTATATTCGACCATTATACATAAAAGGACTCATGGATATTATTTTATTCTGATTTATAATCCAATACTACTTTATTTTGATGAACAAACCGTTCCAGCTCTGGATGTTGGGTGTGCTCAGTACCACTGAGGGGGGGATCATTGCTTCTGGGACCTTGGTTGACAGGGCACAAGGGAATACATGTATACAGTAATAATGTATATACCTGTGTCTAAATAGTTACCCATCTAAACATGAGTTCATACTGAAATCTTTACCCAATCTTTTACCACATGGATCATTCTGACCACCTTCCCTTATCTAGGACTACTAAGCCAGCATTGAGAAACCTGGATTTCGCCGTCTACCATGCTTTTACTTACGCGTCCAGGGTACCTACATTACTACATATGTACGCATATGTCAGAACTGCTAACCAGTTAACCCATGGGAACAGCTGTCAACTAGAGTAATGTACACAAGTTCTTTTGTCTGTTTTATTGACACTGTTTCCACAGTTATTTAGGTCAACATACTCCTTCTACACTCATCAGTGAGGTTGCTTCATACATTTGTAATATACTTGGATTCTTCATAATATCCTAGGATGGCACTTGATCCCTGAGCCACATCCCCAGCCCTATTTTTTAATTTTATTTAGAGACGGGGTCTCACAGAGTTGCTTAGCATCTTGATTTTTCTGAGGCTGACTTTGAACTTGTGATCTTCCTGCCTCAGCCTCCCGAGCTGCTGGGTATAATACAGCCCAGTATTCACTTTTAATGCTATAAAGTTGGGTGGATTTTGAAATGTGTAACATCATACATCCACCATGTAGTGTATAAGAGTTTCACAGCCAGTAAACCTGGCATCACCTGCTCAGTCCTACTTCCTCAGTCTCTGGTAACCACTGAGCTGTTTACTGTCTATTGTTTTATTGTTTCTAGAATATCATAATTGGAACCATAAGAGCACATAGGCTTTTAAAATTAGCTTCCTTCACCTAGTAATAAGCATTTAAGATTCATCAGTATTTGGGGGGGGGCGTGACAGTTTTCTTCTTTTCCGGTTCTTATCCAGCATTTGATGTTGGTGTTTTGGACTTTACTCATTCCTATAGGTGTGTAGTGGTATTTTCTTGTTTTAATTTACAGTTTTCTAATCGCAGATGACATTGAGCTTGTATATCATCTTTGAGGCACCTGTTGAACTCTTTGCCACTTTTAACTTTTTTTTGTTGTTGTTACTGAGTTTAAGAGTTCCTTGTTATGTTTTGGATACAGGTCCCTTATTATATGTGATTTGCAAATATTCTCTCCTCGTCTACACCTTGTTTTTTCTCATCTATGTCTTTCACAAAGCAGTTTTTAATTTAAAATTTCAGCATGTCAGTTTTTTCTAATCCCAGCAACTCCAGAGTCTGAGGCAGGAGGATTTCAAATTGGGAATCAGCCTTAGCAACACCCCAAGGCCATAAGTAACTTAGTGAGACCCTGTCTCAAAAAATTTAAAGGGCTGGGAATGTGGCTCAGTGGTTAAACACCCCTGGGTTCAATCTCCAGTACAAAAACAAACAAAAACCGCTTAAAACTTGAGGCACTGGGGTTGATTCTCAGCACCGCATATAAATAAATAAAGGTCCACTGACAGCTAAACAATATTAAAAAAAAACCCAAAACTTAAGGAAACAAAAATAACATTGTTTTTGCATACTTTTATGCTGACTAATGAATTAATATACATTAATTAGTATAGTAATTAATACACATTAATGTAGTTTTTCTTAGTTATTTTATGCAGCTATAATGGAATACCTGAGATTGGGTCAGTGTAAAGAATGAAATTTATTTCTTCTAATTCTGGAGGCTGGGAAGTCCAGCAAGGGTCCCACAGCTGGTTAGGGTGGTTTTTTTTTTTTTTTTT